TATAAAACAGCCACCTGAGATTAGAAAAGCTGTGCCGAAGACTTTCTTTTTCAAAAACTACTTTTAAGGTACTTTCATGCTTTTTTGACAGTTTTGTATCCATTATATGAAAAGAGCAGCTGGATATTCTGCCAACATCTCTTTCTCATATGGCTTTGGAATGAGATTAAGTAAATTCTGACCTATTCCTTTAAATGTAGCTGCACAAGCAGCGCTTTTCTTGTTAATAACTGAATTATTAGACACACACACACACACAAACTATCGTTTTAATTCTCATTTAAAAATTAACCACACAATGTATATAATTGCACGATTGCATAATTAAAAAATCAACCCAAACCTGGAGGTAAAGAGTGAGTGTGAGCAGGGCAAGCGAGGCCGCCATGCAGAGATAACCCCTAAAGAGAAGCACTCTCTTCCCAGTACTCTCAATGATCAGCACCTGGATAAAAATAGCACAGTAAACAACCACACAAAACCAACAGAAGCTTCCTTTAAACCAGGTCACATCATGTTTTGAGGATGAGGTGGTGAAAAGCGGCTCACGCAGGCAATGGAGGTGGAGACTTCACACAGGCCTGTCCCTAAGGCGACGTAGCGCAGGTTCTCCTTGGCAATGCCGGCAGCTTGAAACACATCAAATGAATAGAGATAGACCTGCAAAGACATCAATCACAGGCCATATACACCAATACCTTTAAATTCTATTACTCATGTTTGAAACTGAATGATGAAAATAATTACGGTGGCTTTCTTTAAAAAGAAGAATGGGGGGAAAAGACAATTCTGGTAATGTGTTTTCTGTGCTGTGTGAAGTCAATTTCCTGAGCAGATTGTGGCATGTAGCTGTTCGTTTTGACAAAATAAGCCTTCTCGATTCAATCAATTTTCGATTGAGCAGGTGCGGGCGGCTACGTGTCTTTCTTGTGACTCACAGCACCGATGCCGCAGAGCTGCAGAGTGACGAACGTGACGAGGATGGTGAGGAGCTGCCAGCGGACGTTGTGGTCGAGGAAGAGGTCCATGAGCCCCTGGATCTTCACTCCCTTCAGGGTGGTGTGTTCAGCCAACATCTCCTCCATCTCTGGTCCAGGGTCCCTTTCAGCCCCCCACAGCCTGCGCAGAGCTGGGCCATAACAAACATTGTCAAACAACTTGACAGAGTACACACTGTAAGATTTAAGAGGACGTGATACAAGTACTGTTTTGACACTTTGGTTTGGGAAGTGTTTGCCAATCGATTAAAAGTTTGGAGTTGGTAAGATTTTTTTAATGTTTTTGAAAAGTCTCACCAAGGCTGCATTTATTTTATTAAACAAAATACAGTAAAACAGCAATATTGTGAAATATTATTTCAATTTGGAATAATTCTATTCAAGTAGATTTTTAAATGTCATTTATTCCAAAAAATGTCAGTTATTTATTTAACTTTAAATTAGGGCTGTGCAAAAGTTAATTGCGATTAATCGCATCCAAAATAAAAGTCTGTGTTTACATAGTATATTTGTGTGTGCTGTATATAATTATTTTGTATATATAAATACACACACATGCATGTATATATTTAAGAAAATGTGTTATTCCTATATAAAATATTTATATTTATATAATATAGATTATGTATTTATATATATATACAGAATTTAAGCGCAAATAATTCTTAAATATATACATGCATGCATAGGTATTTATATATACAAAATAATTATATACAGCACACTCAAATATATTATGTAAAACAGACTTTTATTTTGGATGCGATTAATCGCAATTAACTTTTGCACAGCCCTACTTTAAATTGAAATATCGCATAAAACATTTGCAAATAAAGCAGAATTTTTCACTTTTCCCAGACATTTCAGAACAACCAAAACAACATTTTCAGATTCTGTGCAATGAGATTGTTCCGCTGGTTAGTCCGGCTATGCCGTCCCATCGCAAAGTATCGACACGAATCAAGGAATGTATTTGGTAACTGTGCTCCCATCATAGTTTATGTGCAAGTTTTCTTACCAGATAAAAATTTTATCCGACTTTTAAATCATAATTAATTATTTGTTTATTTTTCTTGACGTTTCCATCCTGAGGTTTTTTTATGAGATATCCCAAAACGCGCATAAAAATAGGTGGATGGAAACATAGTTGGTGTCACATGACCCTTCAGAAATCATTCTAATATGCTAATTTGCTGCTCATGAAACATTTATTATTATTAAAAGTTTTTGTTGCTCAATATGCTTGTGGAAACCCTGATACACTATTCAGAAGTTTGGGGTAAGCAAGATTTAAGGGGTAGAATTAAAAAAAAAGAAATGAATACTTTGATAAAAAGAGACAGTTATGAAATGTATAATGTTACAAAATATCAGTACATAAAACTATACAAAATTATTTATAACAAACATATGCAATTTTCGATTCATCAAAGAATACTGAAAGTATTGTGGTTTCCACAAAAATAAACACTGTTTTCAAAACTGATAATAATAAAAAGCACTATTATTACTTGAAGAATGATAATAATTGATAAATGAGCAGCAAATAGGCATAGTAAAATTATATTCCGATCACATGACATTGAAAATTTCTGTTTGAACATGAGAGACTTATTTCAAAGACGTTAAAAATCTAACATTTAACCAGCAGTGTATGTGTAAATGTCACTGAAGGAGTCTGTGGTTCTGACCCGTCTCACAGCCGTGTTTGTCTGCCTTCTCCAGCAGGAGGTACCGCGGGGATTCTGGGAGAAAGGGCAGAGTTAGCATCTGCAGGAGCCCAGCCGCCCCACTGAAGGCCAGCAGCCAGATCCAGCCCTCCTCAGTGCCTAACACCTCGCTGACACACACACAAAACCAGAGTTCAAATCTTTAAATTTGTATGATGAAGACGTGTTCATTTGATTGACACGTGGACAGCAAAAGTAACAGAAAATCCTACTGGAGGATGAACCGTGCTGTTAATGACCTACCTAATCCCAAGCAGCTGACCGAAGAACTTGCCCAATGAGACAAAAGAGGCTACAGACACACCAACCATCCCACGCAGCCTCTTGGGGGCGCACTCCAATATATACATGGTGTGGACAGTCAAACTCACACCTGCGCAGACATCACTCAAGTAGTTTATATAGAAACACAGCACATCACAAAACAGACAATATATGTACAGATTTTTCCAACGTACCAGCGTTGAGGCCATATAGGACGCGTGCCACCATGATCATCTCAAACGAGACAGCGGCTTTACTCAACAACATAAGGACAGCTCCACAGATTGCCACCACATTGTTCAAAAGCATAGTTCTCTTCCTGTGAAGGGTTAAAAACACAAACACACTTAGTTGCTGTTCCTTCTAGAAGAATTGTAATACTTTAAAATGACCAAAAATGCAAGGTTACCAAAAATGCAAGGTTACCAAAAATTAAAACTGTAATTTTCATGTCATTCCATTGTTTTTAATAAACCTTGAGCAAGAACGGACCACAGAGAAGTCTTCTGAACAAGTTGTAAGTACCATTTGAATGGTTATGATTTACGTCAGATTTGACTAACTCTACCTAATCTGAGGATAATAATAAGGTTAAAGGTGTTAAATAAAAGTCAAAGCACACACCGTTAAAAAAAACAAATAAATAAATAAATTATATATATATATATATATATATACACATATATATGTATGTGTATATATATATATATGTGTATATATATATATACACACACACACACACACACACACATATACACACATATATATATATATATATATATTGAAGAGTTCAGATGCAAAAGCCTCTAAGTGCCATTTGAAATTTTCTTCTAGAATGATAATTTTTATCAAGCTTGTATATTTAAGTTCAGTGATTTCACTTAAATGGCAATGATAATTACCTATTAATTGTTATTTAAGTGAAATTACTGAACTTAAATATACAAGTTTGATAAAAATCATCATTAAAGAAGAAAATTTCGAATGGCATTTAGAGGCTTTTGCATCTGAACTCTTCATATATATACATACATATATACATATATATATATATATATATATATATATACACTTTCATTATATATCCAAAATATCTTATATTTTATTGGGGAACTATCCCCAGTAAGTAACTTCATTCAGCATCAGACGATGACCTGACCACACTTCCAGTACCTTCCGTACACGCCTGCCAGATGTCCAGCATAAAGGGTTCCGGCCAGTCCTCCGATGCAGTATATAGACACAATGAAGGACCAGATGAGCGACAGCTCCCACGGCTCAAGGGAGTGGCCATAACGCTGTTGGCAGGTGCTGTTCACCAGCTCTTTAATAAACTTGGAATGCAAGCACAAGTCTCAGTTGATTATGCCATTCATTTCATTTTATTAAACTACTGATATGTATTGATTCTTTGGTCCTTTGGGAATGTCCCATGTGATTAACACTGATTCCCTCAAGCTGCTCTCAAGAGACAGTAAATCACCCTAAGACACTTTATAACCAAAGGTACTTACAATTGATGGCGAGTTCAGGACAGAGATATGGAAGCCATACTGGAAGGTCCCTCCTATTCCTGCTATGAACATGGCTGCAACGAGCACTGGACTTTTTGCCTGCAAAAAAATGAAAGGTATTTGTGAAAACTGAAATGCTCAATTTGTGAACAAAATCATCATGTAATTTAACAGTTAGCGTACCAGTTGTCTTAAAGAACCCGTCATTCTATGTGCAAGTGCAGCGTACTCTATATTCTCACTAATCTTGATGTCTTCCTATGCCAATGATGATGACAAAGCAAGAACAAAATGTCTAACTTACTGTTGATGTGTAACTTTTCATGCTTGGTTGAGTTTTTGGTGAGTAAAGTTAAGGATCCACTCATCTTCACACATCCCTCGGGTACTGTTAACTGAAGCTGCTTCTTTGGTCTCAAAAATTAATAATACTAAAATGTCAGTACAGGAATCTCACCGTTTTTTTTAAATGACACTGACATTTGAGATGAGGCTACGAATACTGCAATTTTATTAGAGCTCCAATATTTTTCCACTTTCCACCAATATAAATAATACAGCAAACAATTTATAATTTCATCATCACAGATTGAGTGACCCATCTACATCATCAACTGTGTATCCACAAAGCCAGTTTGCAGGTTGACCCCAGAATGCAAATTCATCATGTGGTGCTCCTGAGAATTTCTAATGGGTTTTCAGAACAGGATTTATGAGTAAATTAAGTCTGTTGTTGACATTGATTGAAGAGAAGTTTGTTCAGCAAAATAATGAGTTTTTGTACTGCAACAACTTACACAAAGTTATACCTTAAATGCAAATTCATCAATTATTAACAAAATTGAGCACACAATGGTTTTAGCATTTGATGTTTGACTGTGTAATGTATAATTTATGTTGTAGAACAAAATGTGAAAGATTCTTCAGGCAATAACAGAACGTTTTTTGCATTTAAATCCATCTCTCTATCAGGTTTTAGGCCTGCAAATGTAATTGATGTTTATAAGGATGATTTGGCAAGTTCATTCCACAGCAAACAGCTCTCGAACAAACATATCCTTTAGTGCACAGAGCCTTTTAGAACTCCATTGAAAGCGATGTGATGGAGATGTGGGCGTCCACGACCCTTAGAGCAGGAGGAAGCGTGTGAGACCACCGCCTCGGACCTCCTTCAGACGCTGGCAGTGGCGTAACATGTTCAACATGCCCACAAACCGTTTGTCCACCTTCAGCTGGGTGAACTCTCTGATGTCTTGCTCCACAATGAAAAACTGACCTGTGGGACACAGAAAGAGTTGATGGATTACCTTTTTCAGCCTATTAAATACCAGACCAGGATAAATGACCGTAGTCATGTTCATGCTCCCGTGGCATTAATAGATTTTTTCAAGCAAACAGCTGACTCTCAATTCTTGATATGACAAGACTGTTAATACATGATGGACTGCAGAGCTAAATGAGGTCAAATAAGCCTTTGACCTGCGGCTCCAGAACAGACAGACAGATAAAACTGTGATACCCTTGGTGTCCTTTGTTTCTTGGTCTTTGAAGCGCTGGTGGAGCGTACGGGACGCGTTGTTCAGGGTTTTGACAGACTGATGGAGGATCTTATATTTTGATGTCACAGCTGTGTTGATGCTTTGGACCGCCGCGTTCAGCTGGTCGTATGTCACACGGCCTTTCATGTACCTGTGAGAGCACAAGTGACATTGTGACAAGTAACATCTCTACTAATCAAAGAATTGCAAAAAGTTTAACAGTTTAGCGCCACCCCCTCCTATGAATGACATAATCATAGTCATTCAGCATACATTCTCAAACTACTTAAATATTAGGAGAAGAAAAAAAATGCAATAATCTTTTGCAATCTTTTTTTAATTTATGTAATTCATAATGCTTCATGGGAATGTAGTTCTTTCCCTCATTAAAGCTGTACAGTCTTATACCGTTGTAATTTTGGGTTCAAATCAAAGTTTGCAATGTTGCAATTCACCTCGCGGTTGGTTGGTTTGGCTCATAGCTTATAACTCTTAAACAAAGACTTTTCAGAAACCTCTATGGAAAACACTTCCAGAACCAAGGTCGCTGAAAAAGTGGTCCGCCACTGTTGCCCTATGTAGAGTTTGGTGATAGCACGCTGCTAAAAAACTCATTGCAGTGCATTTTGGGATTTGTTTGAATCTTAGAAGGTAGCCTACCTTTCGAAACAGCCTTCACATCAGGATCCGGGCTACTATGATGTCTAGTTAGGCGGCTCACTGGGTTTTGCAACACAGCTATTGTTTTTTGTTCTGTACTATTATTTGCTCACAGAGTTTGTTTAGACAGTTGTGGAAGGACTCACGGTGGTATGCTGTCAAACTCTGGGACTGTAATGAACTCCATCTCTTTGATCTGGTTTCGTGGAGGTTTCCTGGGCGGCCCCTGTTCCTGAGGGGCGGGGGCCGCATCTGTCTGCCTGCTCTGAACTGCCACCTGTCCTCCACTGAAGATTAAAAAAAAAGACAAACTCATCAGCTTCAGTCAAACAGAAGCTGGCTGAAGCTTTATGTTGTTGAGATTTTCTGTGGTGTTTTTCCTAATGATAACCCAAACTGAATAAGGCACCATCCCACAGAGGGATAGTTAGGTAATAGAAAGATATAAAAACAAGAAATACCCTTGCAGAGCTGCTTGTTGGCCTCTTTTGGGCATGTGCGGAGGGGTGTTGTTCTTGAGGTGATAGGCATCCTGTTCGTCCTCCAGGAAAAACCCTTCTAGATCCTATTGACAAGATAGTTCAAAGATTCAGAAAAGAGAACAGAATAAAAAAATATGTAGCTTGGAACATATGCACTTTTGAAATCCAAAAAAAGGGGTCAATAGATTCAGAAAAAGCTCAGATTCTCCCATCACTAAATGTTACAATTACAGAGAATATCTGCAAAATAGAATAAATATTAATGAAAATATATTACACCTTCAAATGCTTCAGCAAGTCTCTCTGCTGGCCCACATATATCTCAAAGCGATCAAGAAGCTCATTGATGCCAGCGACTTCTTGCTCGATTTTGAGAAGAGTTCCCCGTTTGCTTGGATCTTTTGCTAAAGAAAATTCAAGGAGACATACCGTAACAAACCATAGCACCAACAAGGAACACACAATAATGACAAAATATAAGTCACTTTACATTTTGAGTAAATGATGAGGTTGAGTAAATGATGACAAATTTCATTTTGGGGTGAACTATCCCATTAATTAGTAATACTTTATTTTCATTTTTTAGCAAAATTTTATTGTGAAATAAAAAAAAAGATTTAAGTGCATCACTAGTAACAGTACAATAAATGCAGCTTACCAACAGCTCGAAGCTCCAGCAGTCTTTTAATCATGGATATTTTGTTGTTAATATGTTGTGTTACTTCTTCAAGCTCACAGTGATTCATTTCTTTAAAAGGGAGATAAAAAGATTAGAGGTCATCAAAAGCATAACTATATTCAAAGACAGACCATGCTTAGGGTACTGTAACCTAGCAACCGCCTAACAACACCCTAAGAACAAGACAGATAGTCGTAGTAACGACCTACCAACCACCAAGAACACATTAGCAACATCCACCCAGCAAACTTACACTCAGAGAACATTAACCGTATCAACCCTGGAGAATTACACACGACATGCAACACAGTTCAAAATATATTTACTCTCCATTAGGCCGAAATGCACACATTTTAAAGCTTTCGTGGAATGCTTTATCATTCGTTCTTCCTCTTTTATTTTTGTTTGTTTTGATGAACTCTTCTATGAACGCTGCAGCATCGACGACGATGACGACGACAACAACAACAAATCTAGTGAGTGACAGATAACACTGCACACATAAAACACCGTTTAACAGTACTCCTTCAGTCTAAATGATTTGTTACAGACATAAATCATGGTCCACAAACGCTTCTTAATCAGTATAACGTTAAAAAAAAAAAAAAATAAAAAACGACAACGGACAGTCTCGTTTTGTATTATTGTTCTCAATCTAAAGACAACGTTTTGAATAAATAGGCAACTTTATCAGTTAGGGAAAGTAATACAAACACAAATAATGATATTTACCTGTCCTACGGATTTTTATGGGGATGATAAGTATATTTCTGAAAGGGATGTGATGAAGTCAGATCGCGCCAACTTTTAAACACACAAGCACGCGCAGAAGACACTTTGTGATTCGTCCACGCACTTTCGTCAGAGAGAAACTCTTCAGCACAAATTCATAATAACGTAATAAATTGTGCTTTCTGATAAGACCATTCTAAATGTTATGTTATTTGTTATTTTTGTAAGACTGGCTATATCTCGATTTATTTTGTAATTAATTATTTCTCTGATTTTGTTACTGCCGTGGTTTCACTGAAAGGTCAACAACTAAAGATACAGTGAATTAAATGATTGAAATGTGCATTTTAAAATTAAGTTTTAGCTTTAGCAGCTTTTTTTGGATTTCACTTGGGTAAATTAATTTTCCAGCGTCACACATGCCTTTACAGCGTTTTTATTCAACAACAAAAATATTTTTTTTCGACGATGATGGTTGACTCATGGGTTTAAAAAACACATTTTGTGTATTTTTTCCTGAGATGCAAAGTCGAGACCGAAACCACAAAATCAAGACTAACTCCGGAAATAGCAAATAAACAATTTATTTGCAAAACAAAAATTCTTTCAACAACATTTTTTTTTTGTATTTAAATAAATGCAGATATAAAACTCCACAAACACAAACACATTACAGTATTTTTGCCAAGTACAGTAGAAAACTAAACATCTGCTCATTTGAATCTCACATTTTTGCAAGTGTTGTAGGAAAATGCAAAACTTAAATGTGGTACAGTTCTTCTTTTCTTTCAGATTCAGTCAAGTGTCACGGTTTCTGAGCCAGATTTCAGAGTCCAAGAGAAGCTTTGAGCAGCGAGGTCATATCATCAGGTAAGGTGTCCTCTTCATCTGGAAGAACCAAACGTATTCATTTTACTAACAAAACACAGATGAAAATCCCTGCGAGTTTCATTTAAGTATTCTCACCCTCCTCAGTTGAAGTTGCGGTCATGTGCTGCTCTAGTTTGAGTTTTCTTTCTCCAATTCGAAGCATGGCGTCCTCTATGGAGTCCTTACTTATCAGCTTGATCACCTTCACCGTCCTTTAACGGGACACATGCACTCAGATATAAAAGCATGAGGACAAAACGCTAGTGAAACAACAGGAAAGACTACTGTGGGACACACATGTGCACTGTCTCTTACTTGGTTTGTCCCACCCGGTGGCAGCGGCCCTCTGCCTGTTTGTCATTGTAAGGGTTGCAGTCGATATCGTGAAGGATGACCACATTGGCAGAAGTCAGGTTAATGCCCAGCCCTCCAGCTCTGGTGGAGAGCAGGAACACAAATATGTCCTGGTCTGTGTTGAACTGGTCAATCAGCCCAATTCTGTAAAAGCCCAGTCAGATTTACAGTTACTGACCATTTACTTAATTGGCATTTAGAAAACACTTTGATTTACAAGTGATTTAAAGTATGCTAATGGTTACTATGGATAATGGGGTTTAAGTGCTTTGGCCAAGAAAACAATGGTGGTGGAGCAGGACAGTGATCTATATGAATAAAACAGAAGTGTGGTTGGTCACTCATTATTGTAATTTTCCCCCTTTACATCCTTATCACAATAATTCAATTAAGGTGGACATCTACCATGCATTATATGCACAATACATTATTGGTACCATACAGGTTATACGCTGATATTTGTTATATTAATGTTATATTCATATCTGGTATAATGTAAACTGCCCCTGTTATGCTGTTTTAAATGTTCTTAATTTAGTTTTGGAGGTTTACATGCATCCCTGGTCCAAAAAAACTTTAATTTTGTCATAATATACATTACAGCATATTTTCTCACTGTCTGAAATGGTTCGATAAAGGATTTGTCTCTCTAAAACCCTTCCTTCCGAGAGCCTGTTCTCCTCTGATTGGTTAAATATCCCAGTCTATTGTCATTTGTCTGATCTGCTCTGATTGGTCAGATCACTCAGTCTGTCGTGATTGGTCTACTGTGCTCTGATTGGTTAGATATCCCAGTCTGTTGTGCTTGGTCTACTCTGCTCTGATTGGCCAGATCAACCAGTCTGGTGTGATTGGTCTGCTCTGATCTGATTAGTCAGATCACCCAGTCTGTTGTGATTGGTCTGCTCTAATTGGTCAGATCACCCAGTCTGTCGTGATTGGTCTACTGTGCTCTGATTGGTCTGATCACCCAGTCTGTCGTGATTGGTAAACTGTGCTCTGATTGGTCATGATTGGTCAACTGTGCTCTGATTGGTCAGATCACCCAGTCTGTTGAGATTGGTCTACTCTGCTCGGTCAGATCACCCAGTCTGTTGTGCTTGGTCTACTCTGCTCTGATTGGTCAGATCACCCAGTCTGTTGTGCTTGGTCTACTCTGCTCTGATTGGTCAGATCACCCAGTCTGTTGTGCTTGGTCTACTCTGCTCTGATTGGTCAGATCACCCAGTCTGTTGAGATTGGTCTGCTCTGCTCGGTCAGATCACCCAGTCTGTTGTGCTTGGTCTACTCTGCTCTGATTGGTCAGATCACCCAGTCTGTTGTGCTTGGTCTACTCTGCTCTGATTGGTCAGATCACCCAGTCTGTTGTGCTTGGTCTACTCTGCTCTGATTGGTCAGATCACCCAGTCTGTTTTGCTTGGTCTACTCTGCTGTGATTGGTTTGCTCTGCTCAAACAAGTTTCACACAACAAAACCATGAAATTAAGATAGACAATGTCTTCAAGGACACGGATGGAGAACCTGAGTGTCAGTGAAGGAGACACCGTCCTTGATTTACGACAGCTGTGACAAGACACAATAAACATCAGGTCCACCTCATCACACACTGCCAACATCACCGCTGTCACTCATTCCTGTCATGAGTCTGGGCTTGAGCCGATTCCAGAAGGACATACATGATGATTTGAAGAGTGGATTCTCACGACTCCTTTACTGAGCAACACTGAACATAATAGTGCGTTTACCTGTCACTCATGGGTGTTGAACCGTCCAGCCGGATGTATCTGTGCTTATGGTGTCTCAGGAACACCTCCAAAATGTCAAGCATCATTGTGAACTGGCTAAACAGCACCACTCGATCACCCTGGGGGTAACAGAGAGAGGACAAAATTCATTGTATGGAAAAAAGCAGCATGAACATTCTGGTAAATATCTGCTTTTGCGTTCCACAGACGAAAGAAAGTCATACGGGTTTGGAATATGATGATGACTACAGTGGGCTTTACAAGTATATACGTACTTATATAGTTCATATGCAGTATGGTGTAATATGGAAGTGCATTTCTCTGCACAGGTAGAGTATAATAACTTTCATTATACTCTAAAGGCTAATTAAAAATGTAATTTGGTCTCTGGAACATAAACCGGAATCTGTTTTCCCCCAACCTTCTCCTTCAGGGAGTTCAGCAGCTGTGCGAGGAGGCTGAGCTTCCCCGAGTCCAGCAGTATTTCTGTGTCGAGTTGGTATTCCTGCAGTGCAGAATACTGCTGACAGAGGCGGTGTAACTCGAAGTCAGAGAGCACCTCCATGTCCTCTTTGACGAGAGCGGGATCTGCGTCACGGTGACTCGGCTCCTGGAATGTTTCAGCCAGTTAATGGTAAAGCACAAAGACTCTTCAGATGATGCTGCACATGTAACAATACAAGATGTTATAGATCTGCCCTAATTGTGCTTATTCCCTGCTGCAGTTCTTTATGAAACACAAAGACTGATCAATATATCTGTTATGACCTATACTAATACAAATATTAGTTTTTTTATTAAATATTTTATTATTCTTGATAATAATGAGAATTAAAGAATTGATAGAATTAATGTATTATTGTAATTATTGTCCACACAGCTGTTTGTGGCCAATAATGATCATAATATTAATAATACATAGTATTTTTAATTTAAAAAAAGATATATATATATTTTTATTATTCTTCAATAGTTGTTTTTGTTGATGTATAATCATAAAAAAATTAGAATTTATTCATTCAACTTGGTATGAAAATATTTCCGACCTTGAGCATGAGTTTGCTCATGGCTTTGAGTTTTTCTGTGGTATAATGCTGCCGGTGAAGGAGCGGATGGTTGGACATCTTTCTCAGCTGCATCATCACATTGGTCAGCTCACGTCCTGCAGAAAGACATGGTTAATAAACTCTGATTCGCATACTGTATACTGAAGCCAGTTCATTTTTCAACAATATCTCCCTCAAATACATACTTTCTCTGTTACTGGAGCGCTTCAGTTTGTGGAAAAGAGCGTCATAGAGTTCCTGCTGCCTCTCGGACATGGCACAAAATTCAACCTGCTCCTCTTTGGCAGGCAACTGCTTCAGGACCTGTCGGGCACATCATCATCTGTCAGTGAACCCCTCGAGTGCCCTAGAGTCACAGAGGGTCAACATGACAAGCAAAGTGCCTTATCCGCTTGTGAGACTGAATAATGCATTTGAAATGTTGTCCAACAGATTTCCACATTGGGATGCATTCCATTATGCTAAATGCTTATGGACCATGCATGCTGATGTACCTCGCTCTTCACACGTCTGAGAATGAAGGGTTTCATGATAAGCTTGGCCTGGGTGATCCTGTCCCTCTCAAAACTGCTCTGCTCCTCTGAAGATTTCTGGTGGACACAGATTAAAGAAATATCTGGAACTAAATTTTACATTTACTGAGGACGATTGAAATAGTGCTGGTCTTGATGCTAGGGTGTCTCTAGGCAGGGAAAAGTGTTGTGGATGCTTTCTAGGTCATGGCTAGGTGGTTGCTAAGGTGTTCTGGGTGCTTTTTTTCTAATTCATGGCTAGGCGGCTGCTAGGGTATTGCTAATGTGTTCTGGGTGCATTCTCTAGAGAATGGTTGGGTGGTTGCTAGGGTGTTGCTAAGGTGTTCTGGATTCTTTCTCTAGAGAATGGCAGGGTGGTAGCTTGGGTGTTGCTAAGGTGTTCTGGGTGCTTTGGAGAATGGCTGGGTGGTTGCTATGGTGCTGCTAAGGTGTTCTGTGTGCTTTCTCTGGAGAATGGTTGGGTGGTTGCTAGGGTGTTGCTAAAGTGTTCTGGGTGCTTTGGAGAATGGCTGGGTGGTTGCTAGTGTGTTGCTAAGGTGTTCTGTGTGCTTTCTCTAGAGAATGGCTGGGTAGTTGCTTGGGTGTTGCTAGAGCCTAGTTCACACTACATGATTTTAAGCCCGATTTAAGCCCGATTTGCAAATCGTTGAGTCACCGACAAGTCAGGGTGTTATCGCGTGCAAATCGCGGGCGATTAGCGGACGATTAACGCTCGCCAATCTGTTAGTATGAAAGAGCCAACAACGCATCAAAGACAGCTCGCAGACAGGTCACCGAGCTCAGAAAAATATCTAGCATGCTAGATATCCAGAGCTGTCGCGCGACTCAATCTCAGTGATGTCATGAGCTAGAGCCAATCAGAGCAAGGTATGGGTTGAGGTCACCGGGTAAATACGCGAAATGCGCAATTTTCGAAGAAACACGTCCAATAGGAGTTTGCAGAAAGATCAGCAACATGTCAAGAAAGCAATGGACTCAAGATTTAGATCAAAATTGAATCGAACTGTGTCAGGAGCATGAATGCCTTTATGATGTTGGACATGAGATGTACCACAACCGCATCCAGAAAGAGAAAAGGTGGACAGAAATCACAAACGCCCTCAAACAGTGAGCAAAATGTTATTGGAAATGTACATTAAATCTTACTGTAATTCTGTTTGTTGTGATATATTATATTGTGAAGTAAGAGGATATTCAGTTCAAGGATTTAATTGTCATATTTAGCTTGAAACAGAGAATTAAAACAAAAGGATTAGTGGGGGTGCATAACTGAGAATTAATGAATAATGCATTTTCTTTATTAATTCTAGACTTTACTGTTGAGGACATTAAGATCAGGGCCGTATCCCTGCGAACGCTTGTAGATGAGATTGAATCGTTTGGTGACAGAGTTGTTGTCAAATCCTGTAGTGCGTCAGCTCCAGTTGCGGATCAATCATGATGTGTCGTTTGGTGTGAACGGCTCAACAACTTGAACACTCCTGATTTCACAGAGAGCAAGTCATGTAGTGTGAACTGCACAGTTCAGCCCGATGTTTTGAAATCATGTAGTGTGAACTAGGCTTAAGGTGTTCTGTGTGCTTTCTCTGCAGTGTTTCCCAACCCTGTTCCTGGCTGCACACCAACACTGCGTGTATTCTTTGTCTCCCTTATTAAACACACCTGATTCAACCCATCAGCTCATAATCAGGTGTGTTAATGAGCTGATGGGTTGAATCGGGTGTGTTTGATTAGGGAGACAAAGAAAACACGCAGTGTTGGTGTGCAGCCAGGAACAGGGTTGGGAAACACTGCTCTAGAGAATGGCTGGGTGGCTGCTACAGTGTTGCTAAGACATTTAGGTGTGTGCAAGTTGTACCATGGAGAACATCTTGGAGATCTGTGAAGTGCTGCTGGAGAACATGCTGGGCATGATGAAGTTGAGCAGGGACATGAGCTCGAGTAGGTTGTTTTGCAGTGGGGTCCCAGTGAGCAGCAGTCGATATTTGGCCTGGAGGGACACAAACGGAGGAGAAACCTGAGTGCCTGAGGGGGCAAAGGCAGTTTAACCCCATCTGGGCCGCACACAGTCCTGCTACTTTACAAAAACAGACATGTGGCTGTAATAGAGCTCAAGGCATTTATTCTTAATGACCACTGACACGTTGCTATGGACGACAGCTATACATGCGACTTATAGGGATCTTACGTTGATGGCCATGAGGTGTCGGTAGCGCAGCGAGTTCATGTTCTTCAGCAAGTGGCCTTCGTCGAACACGGCATACTCCAGCTTAAGCTTGCAGAACAGGCTGCGGTCACTGTTATTTCCAATAGCCAGGTTGTAACTGTGCACAAGAGACCATTTAATGAGCTGAGGTATTAAGGGGCAGGACATGAGGCACAGCCATGTTTCATTACCATAAATAATGAATGGGACAGGGTCATTTTACTTGGACCTTTTCACGTTCACTCAAACGCTGAGTATTTCATCATTATTATGTCTTTAACAAGGGTGCTTTTTCTATGCTAGCTTCACGGCTTGTGGTTCTGTGTGTGTAACAAAGTTCAAAAGATACATATTTCCCCAGACGCCTCATGCTCGGTACCCTTCTCGGATTTGCATGCAGGTGGTCGATGAAGGATATGACGCCTCGACTCTTTCTTCAAGGGTTCAGGGCAATCTTGAGAGCTTGAACTTCGATACTCACGTGGAGACAATGATGTTGTAATCCACTATTTGATTCAGGATCTCATAGCGCATATACTTGCGATCCTCAGCAGACCCTACCGAAATAAATCAGTTAGATTGACACCAACATTTTCTTTGAAATGTTGCATTAAAAGTTAAGTGTGTAATTTATTCATGATAAAACATTTCCTTTTCCAGTTTAACATGTAAATGAAGCTTTTTGTAGGTTGCTTGCTCCCACAAAAGTGTATACACTGTAGCGCTATCAAAGCATACGAATGAGCCAAACACAGCAGCATTGGCTCAACCAAACTATGTGAGTGTGAGGCGACCATTGGTAGGTTCATGTAGGCTATATTTAAATGCGTATATAAGGAATAATTGACAACGGCCCAACGACCGGTGGTGCAGAGTCAATTATTCTGCTTATACAGTTACCACACCTCAAAACATTGTTCAGATTATGTATTTCAAGACATTTGTCAGGCAATTGTCCTGAAAACACTCTTGTGTGTAGGATTAATTTCTTACCCATCTAATTCCAAGCCTCAGTTGCTACTTAATAACAAAACGTCATTTTAGAGCTAGTAATGGACTCTTGAGCCACGGATAGCAGACTAATGCAGTTAGAGTGAGAGAGAGAGAGAGAGAGAGAGAGTGAGAGAGAGAGAGAGAGAGAGAGAGAGATTAAGCACATGTGATTACCTGAATCTGTGCATCTTTAAACAGTGTTCCGGCAGCAGCGTCTCTACTAACAGCGAAACTGTAAGTTTATCTGTTCCAAGAATAGCGTCGTTATTACCTTGCTAGTGAGAAATGATTTTAATCTATTTTACTGATAAAATCATCAGAGCAGCGCTGTGTGTGTCCATACTTTAGGCCTATGTTTGTGTGTTTGAGAGGGAAAGCGGGAGAAAGAGTAGCCTACGTGCTTTTCGTACATAATAAAATGGAATTTGGTGGCAAAAAACATGGACATAGTGTGTTGTTTTTATCCTATTGTTTACTATATTTATTTCCTAGGTCAGTGTCATTGCGGGTTTAGGTTCTTTTGCTGTTGTAGTTTGTAAGGACATTTGAAATAACTGAAATCATTTGCCGAAGTGATATGGAACCGTAATGTGGTCAAGACCTGATAGGAACTACTTCAGCTGTGCGTTTCCCTGAAAATGACCTTAGAACGTTCGTTAAATCATTCAGATTTAAGCATTCAGCCCTGCGGTATAATGTATACTACAGTTGACGAACGGTTTAATTATTTTTAGGGCTTAAGTAGTTCCAGGCAGGTCTTGACCCTATTACAGTTCCATATCACTTTGCATATCACAAATTATTTCAGTGATTATTTCAGCACTAATATATACAGTACACACACATATATATATATATATATATATATATATATTTTTTGTGTGTTTAGTGAAGAACAAAAAAAATCATGTGTAAAAAATTTGCAAAAAGATCCTTGGTTTTACCATAATATACAAGCACTTTGAAACTGGGGCACCAAAGTTTCAGTTCCCGAACCCAATTATCTGTAAAAGTAACAACAAATTAAGATGCTTCAGATGGTTGGATGTTTTATGCTGATGGTTATTTAGATGCGCATTGCTCTGTTCACCAAGTGTAGAAGCAGGAACGGTGATCAGATGAGGCCCATGGTTCCCTTCCTGATAGAGGTATGCCAGGAACGAGATGGCCTGGATGGTCTTCCCCAAACCCTAAATTAAGAAAGTACATCCTAGTGACTAAATGTGCAGTCCTTGCCGTGTAATGAACATTGAGATCATATTCATAATATCACTAAACATTTATAAAAAGGACTATTATTCCATTACCATCTCATCCGCCAGGATTCCACTAAGTTTGTTCTGATGTAGTAAAGCCAGCCAGTTCAGTCCAATCAGCTGGTACGGTTTCAACTGGAATCTAGACAAAAATATAAAAAATTAGGAATCAATCACTCGACAACACAATCTATGATGTTAAATCTTACGTGCTAGTGAGGATCTGGGGCTGGCTCATAGAGCCCGGGCCATTGTTCATCATTTGGGTGACGTCTTGGATCAGTTTTACAGATATCTCCTCACACTTGCTCATGAGACCTTTCACAACTTCCCTTTCCTTCAGAACCTCCCGACATCCTGCCAGCAGCTCGATGGAGAGACCATTTCCTCTGTGCATGGCATCATCCTGAGAAAGAGATGTGTAAAAGTGTTGCTCTTGGATCATGGCCAAAATGTTCTTGTGGTTATAAACAGAAAGCAAAATGCACAGTTCTCTCACCAGGTCTTTCCACCTTTTAAAGGGTCTCAGCTCTGTGATTTTCTGAGCCTTCTTCAAGGAGCATCCTGCAATGAGAGTGAGCTCATCCGCAGAAGCGGTCTGAAAGAAGCTGAGGATCTCTGATTTGAGTTTGGATAGAGACTCCTCTGATTGGTCAGAGTCAGAGTCCAGTAATACATTCACCATAGAGGCCTCAGAGTCACTGCACTCCTCAGACGAGCTCACATATACGTTTTTTGGGACTACCGACTGCTTTGCACTCCTCTGAGGTGTTTTGGTCCCGTCAAGAGGTCTGCGTGGTTTCGGTTGGGGTGGGCTGGAAAGTTGGGGAACCTGAGCTTGTTGGCGGGTATTTGCGACCCGTCTGGTGCGTTTGGCAGCAGTGGATACTTGAGAGGCATCATCCTCAGACTCAACCACTAAACGTACAGAAAGAATGTAAGCTTTAGGACAATTATGACACTTACGTTGAATCTTTGTTGTCATATGCTATCGTATTTGAATTCAATTAGAATTGTAATTGCAAAGCAACTAGCAGTTAAATGTATGCTATTAAAAGCACCAGTCTAAACAAAGTCTAGCTGAGACTTTAAATTTTACATGAGAATCTTTTTCTGGAAGGCCATATGTTGACATTTTAGGTCGAATCTTTCATTTTTAATTAAACATTTTTTTTCTTCCTGGGATGCTACTGCCGTAAGACATGCCAGTACACAGTTCAAGAACAGTTATAGCCGTCGTTTAGGAAGAGCCAGGAACAAACTGTAAAATAAATAAATTTAATGATTCATAAATAATTTTAAAATAAACATATTTAATCAATAAAAGTATTTTAATAAATATGTATATATTGCAATTCCATTTGGTGTCACTAGAGGCACAAATTAAAAAAATATACACTTCACCTGTGTAAAATTTGCACACGAAAAAAATGCTCGGTTTTTACATCATACCTGCAAATTTGGAGCACCAAAATTACAGTTTTAAACCCAATCAATTTCATGAATTCTTTCTATTAAGACTTGAATATGGGTAAGTTTCATACAAAAAATAAACATTTTGAGCAAGAAGCTGAGAAAAAAGGGGTTTTTGTCAAAGACTACCCAGATCGGATTCAGAACGATGATCGAAAAACATAGATGGAGTAGATCGAGTCCATCAACACTCCCAAAACTTCACAGTGCAACAAGCTCATCCTGGGTCGACAATTCATTCAGTAACATTGGGCAGTTATGATTTACTAATGTCAATTGCGATTTTAGAGCTATATACACAATACATATCCTATCAAACCTCACCAAGGTCGGAGAACATTCGTAGTGTTTCCAAGGCATCCTCAATAAGCCAGCTGTGTTCCTGAAGCACATCCCTGAGTTCCTGTGGGAAATCACACACTTCAACTTTAGCCCTCAAGCTCAAACAAATATCTGGTGTACATACCAAAATGGCCAGCTTCTGTCAGTGATGACTCACATTCTTGTTCAGATGAGGGAACTTCCTCTGGAGTTTTCTCAGCATACGATCCTGATCTTTAGATCCTGGCTCAGGCTCCTCTTCCTCTGAATTATCCATCTAATGAGACATAAAAACACTGTTGTGGCCCACTTCCCTGAATACTGCAGGGATGAAGGTTTTTTTTTTTTTTTTTTTTTCTGTAGGCCAAACGATGATCAAAAACATAGATGGAGTAGATCGAGTCCATCAACACTCCCAAAAAGAGTTTGCATTTGATTTTAGCACTTTCATTTCAATGAACGGATTTTTGGTTCAATTTGAAAAAAGGTCTGTGATTAACACAAACTTAAGATATTTTGATGTTTTAGATGTTTTGACAGGCATTTCATTTTACATACATACCCCCTTGTGATATTTTTAAAGCTTTTACTTGTGTACGTTTTTTTACTTGCTAACAAGTGTCTAAATGAGACTACAGATGTTTTCAAGACATCATCACGTCAAACAGATAAACTCGTCTGCTCACTAGTCCGTTTTCACAGCCTCGTTGAGTTAATAACGGAAATCTTGCACACTATTTTAACTCAAACTTTCAGGGAATATGTTACTGTTCGGTCATTTTTTAACTTAAAAAATGTTAAATTTACTTTATTGGAATCTAAATTTGGTACAGGTTTTGACACTTACTGTGTGAACACGTACGTATATCATGGGCATGATTCAAAAAGGCTAAATGGTACTGAAAAAAATAGTCACACTTGTATTGTTCGCGGTCAATAAGTAATAACAAATTTCATCTAGTGGAAACGTTTGGTACTGCGCACAAACAGATTCTTACTGAAAGCTATTTTTTTCAGATATCAACCTCAAATTTGGAACACAGCTTGTTTCGATTTATTTCTTTAGGTTTGACTTTCTCTCATTTTTAGAGTAAAACATGTTTTGGAAAATATATATTTCATATAAAAAATAAAATAAAAAATGGTGTGCATTTTTCATCACAATAAATGTAAAATTGTATAATTGTTTTCAAGTTCACTTTTTTTTTTTTACTTTTTTCACTTCAACAATAATCTGCCAAATGTCTTCTTTAAAAACTTAAGTTTGTGCTTCAAAGCATTACAGATTTATGACTCAGTTCTATGCTCAAAAAGTGAATAAATGGATTTATAACTACTGCATAAATATCATTTATTACATTAAATCCCCTAAAAATACAAATCTAAAATATAGTACAATCATTTCATTGAAAAAATGTACCAGCATGCGAACAGTACCAGAGGGTTAAACTGAAAGTGTTGTTATAAACTTGGTGATGTTTAAGTCATGAGACAATAGTGTTGTTCTGATTATAACTAGAGCTGTCAAATGATTAATCGTGATTAATCGCATCCAAAGTATATATAAAAACACACAGATGCATGTATATTTAAGAAAAAAATTGTATTTATAAAAAATATATAAAACTATATACAGTAGATATACAGTATATACACACATGCTTGTTTATATTTAAGAAATATTTTTATGTATATACTGTATATATTTTTATATATATTTTATATATAAATACTATTTTTTTCTTAAATATACATGCATCTGTGTGTATTTATATATACAAAATAATTATACACAATGAACCCACATATATGTAAACAAAAACTTTTATTTTGGATGCGATTAATCACGATTAATCCTTTGACAGCCCTAATTATGACCTATATTTAGCTTCTTACTTCTGCTGATTGTATTTAGGCTTCAAAAGCTTATTGGTAAAGATTACCATGAACAAAACATGTAAGAATCGTAAACTTTTGTTGATATCAGAGCTTATATTCTTCAATTCAAAGGCCAAAGGAAAAATCATATTGGGTTTTTGTCGAGGGAACCAGGCTGATGCGAACGTCTGGGTTGGCCTTCAAAACTAAGTCATCTCTGGAGCGCTCCATAAGCCTAGTGTGAACGCACACACCCTCGCCAATGACTAATAGACTAATACATCATCTTGAAAAGGGACAAACCGTAACATGGCAGTCACAGAAAAACATTCTGTTGGTGTCCTTGATCGGGACACTCTCTTCAATTTAGCCTTGGTGTGTTTGCAGAGGCACAAAACTCCTTGCTGTCAGTATTGAGAGGATCAGAGAGGGAGCGGCCCACGTTATTCCAATGACTGTGAGTGAGTTCACCTCAGAAGCCCGCCTCTTTCTGCTGTCGCTTTCCTGGGAAGCGCCACACATCTGCTGCTGTCTCCTCTCCTGGGCCGAATCGGACGCTGGAAAGGAGAGCATGTCAACAAAGCTCAGCAACAGCAGCATCTTCACCTCAGACACACCATGGGAGCAGTTTAGATTGATGGAGTGACTCTGCTCATCTGTACCTGCTATCCTGGATGTCTTCAGGGGGGAGGGGTGTGCGCTATTGGTCACCTAAAACGTCAGTGAGATGATTATTGCCATGCAACCCAAACAATGGCTGGGATGCACCTAATTGTCACACTGGGTCAAGAAAATGCTTGTTTTTACCATTTGCGACCCCTTCTGTTGTGTTGGTGGAGCTTTTGAGGTAGATCTTGTTGTTCTGTTGTGCTTCAGTCTTCTCTCTATCTTCACTACAGTTACTTCCTCCTCATCAGACAGTGATAGTTCATCCTCAGACGATGATGCTTTTTTCTTACGCTCTACTTGCCTTGATATCGAAGTATAAAGCATACCGAATAAAGCATAAAAGCTATTAGCATAATCAGTTAATCTCGATAATGGTGGTTTTTTTTTTTTAGTGTCTGTAAAAATTACAAACATTTTTTTGTTGAGAGGGTGCTTTATATTATGTCATTTATATTTACAATGCCTCAAGCACAAATACTGAATTTGAGGACTGACCTGACTGGCATCACGGAACTGCCTGATATCTCAATATCCGAGTCAGAGTCAGAAAGGGCAGTGGAGAAAGATGATCTTGATGGACGTTTGGTTTCAGGAGTCTCTGGAATGATAGTGTCTGGCTCTGTTGGAATTAAGCATTTCATTTAACTGTGGCAAAATCACAATGCATGCCCTTGAGAGGCTTATTACTGTAGCAAGACAACACTGCTCTATTATCCAGAGCATATATGAATATATACACACACACACAACACTTTCTGGTTCTCAAATCTAATTGGCTGAGAGCCTTTTCCAGCCATGTGATATAATAGGTTGCGATTTGCTGGGCTAGTGGAGGGATTTTCCCCCTTTGGTCTCAATATCCCTGCCTGTGCTGAATTATTTATATCCCCGGTGGCTTTTTTATGTTGAAGCATGCTGTGCTATTGCGTTCTGTGATTATTTTGTATGAAATATTGAAGTATCTAATAAGCGTTTTGGCACACCTGGCTGAGTTGCACATTGTTCTAAAATCAGGGTTTAATTCTGGCATACTGGGATTTTTCTCCTTTGTGGAGCACATCACAAAAATGAATCAAAACTTAGTGTATACGTGCCTCAGTCACGATAAGAATTATATCTATAGAAAGCTTGAAATGTAAAATTGAAATGAACCACCATTTCAAAATCAAATTTAATTATGTAATCCATATGAAACCAGTGAGAGGTATACAGAGGTAATCTGTTGAAATATAGATACAAAATGTGTATGAGAGCTTCCCAATGAGGAAAGGACAAGGCATAAGAGTGAAAACTCAGTCTTGAATAATTAATATATATATATATATATATATATATATATATATATATATATATATAAAATGATTTAAAAAATATTTTTTAACCCTCTGGTTCTATTTGAATGTTGGTCAAAAATGACCTTTTTTTTTTCTTTCAATGAAACGATTGTACTATTTAGTTTGATAATGTTTTTGTATTTTTAGTGGATTTTATACTAAATTATATTCATGCATTGTTAGTTATATGATTAGTTATAATCCATTTATTCACTTTTTGGGTATTTCAAAAACATCCCACTTTTTTCCACAAAAATAGGCTAATTGAGCATCTAACATAAAAAGTCTGTTTACATAACATGTGTGTATATATTATTATATTTATGTTATATAAATATATAACACTTATACATAACTTATATACAAGATAGATAGATAGATAGATAGATAGATAGATAGATAAATAGATAGATAGAGATGTTATATAAATATAGATCAATAAATATAAGGCGATGACGAATATTTGCATTCATTTGCATCTATTTATGATTGCTAAGATGCACAAATTGCATGGTCTTTTATTTAACCATTGAAGGATGACCACCAGTCACATTAAATAAAACATTATTAAATCACCATCATTCATTTTGGAAGCGAATGAACAGGCTCTTATCTCAAGTGCATACTGTCAAACTTAACAGCCTACCCGAGGGATCCACATGATGTAAGGATGCTGACTGTCCTTTCTTTCTCCTCATTGTTCACTCTCCACATGCGTAAACATCAGCTGAATTCAGGTTCTCGCATAATGCCATGCAAACCAATCGATTCAATCGATAGAATCATTCGTCGCTGCCCGAATTCACCATCTATCAACTGTAAGAGCTGATTTTTTGGACACGAGAAGCATTTCTCTCTAACAAAGCACGGCGAGCTGATGAATGATTGCTTTGTCAATAAACAGCCTCGCATCGGCTTCGGTCAACGGCAATGACCAGATAACCCTGTTTAACTCGAACCATTTCTATGCACGTTCTGAATCATTGGGATATTTCACCGGCTGTATTGTGTGTCTAGTGTATTTAATGAATGAAAGACAGCGTAATCATACGCTAGCCGGTTGTAACATCTGTAACTACGGTGGCCGTGAAGGTACGCACGTGTAGTCACAGTTGACCGAGAAAGAGTAGCATACTGTAATACATTACACCTGTATATTAATTGTTGTTATATATTTATGTATTTAATGTATTGACATACATACTTGTAGTGTAGCAAATGAAAGGGAATAGTTAAAACAAAATTAAAATAGTAATTGTTTCATCCATTTTTGGAATAAAATAAAAATGTACACGAGACATAACTGATTTAAAACTGACAAGAAACTCGTTTCCTTTGGGAAAATTCAGCAGTACGCTACACAGAACCATCACATCTCTTTGAATGGCATGGGTTGAAACATGCAGTTTCACTTATACAAATCGATCTCTTTTCCGAACAGATCATGTATTTTCCTTTCTTTCAAACTCTGCCTCCGTGATGCCCGTCTGTGTGAGCAGGTGGTGATTTGACTGACAGCAGTCCTGTGATCTCGCTTCATAAAGATGCAAGTTGGCAAGAGCCGATACAACAATAACAAACGGTTCTCAGAGGCTGCTGACGCTGCGAGGTGACGTGCACTCACACTGACTGCAGTAACACTGCAGCGACTCTTTCACGAGTGCTGAGATTCAAAATTATGGCTTTAGGCCTACATAAGCGGACTGATTCTCACTGGATCTATAGACACCGTTTGGTTTGGGCAGACGAATGGTATAATAACGGCATAAACTTACATTAAACGACAGTGCACCGTTCATTTAATTATGATAGACTTAATGAATAGGAACCCGCTGTTTAAGAAAATGAATCAGTTTGCCTTTGTCGGGAAATTGTTGATAATACACGTGTTTACTTTCACTCAATTTGTGTCATGCTGTTTAAAATGTCCGTCTCGCGATTAAACCAGGTGGTCAGATGCACGGTTACTGTTACTACTGTGACTAATGGCGATTTTTATTCATCCCAGTGAATCGGATCTTTTGAATCGGTTCACTAAAACAATTCATTCAGATACTTTCTGAAGGTAACATCATTACACGCGAATGGCTGCATCCGAAATCACATAGGCCTACTCTTATTATGGGGTTAAAATTGTTGCATTATTCCAAGTAAATAGATTGAGATTCACAAACAAATGTAAAGAAATTCATAAAAATGTATCAAATTCACAAATAAATAGATTGCGATCGACAAATAATTATTACTAATGTAATTTTTACAATTTTTACTAATGTGTTTTATGTCACAAACACAACTCTGTTTTATGTGCATTTGTACAGTAAATCGCTGCACGCATTGGTGAATTTCTTCTTGTGCATTTGTAAATCCCTTCACACATCTGTGGATTTTAAAACACTTCTAGTGTCAATGTGCAGACAAATCCACAATTAAGTGGACTCCACCAACCGTTTCCTCAAGCCATTCACATAACGGCCACATTGAGCTGACCAATCGTAACACGTTCAGGCTAACCAATCACTTTAGGCTTTACAATCAGGGTGGTCTTGCCATGAAATAACTTCATTCATCTGCATTGGCTCAAATAGGAAGTGTAAGGCTAAAGGTCCATACAATTGCTTCAGTAAAAATTATGTTTAAAATTTGGGTTTCATTTGACCATTAGACTGTGTATCAAGCCAAGCCACATGTTTATGAGCCTTTGAAAATGCTAGAGAAACAGCGCTTAAATCTCTGTCATATGGGAACAATGTGTTATGGAAGCGTCACAAAATTCATGATAGGACAGGAAAGCATCAATAAATTGCTGACTAATGAATAACTGGATTCAATCTCGTGATAAATATGCAAGTTTGTGTATTATAGGTGAAATTACTGTCACAGCAGCCAAAAGCTTTTCACACTTCTTCAGTCAAGTTTTAAATATGCAGCAGGTCCGTGGATTTAGTTTTAAACACTAAATGCTAGGGCTGTCAACGATTAATCGGGATTAATCGCATCCAAAATAAAAGTTTGTGTTTACATAAAATATGTGGGTGCACTGTGTATAATTATTATATATATATATATATATATACATGAAAAAATACAAGCATGTGTGTGTATTTATATATATATATATATATAAATACACACACATGCTTGTATTTTTAAGAAATATTTTCATGTATGTAATATAGGATATATAGATTTATATATAATGTATATTATATATAAATATAAATATTTTATATATAAATAATTTTTTTTCTTAAATATACATGCATGTGTGTGTATTTATATGAAGAGTTCAGATGCAAAAGCCTCTAAGTGCCATTTGAAATTTTCTTCTAAAATGATCATTTTTATCAAGCTTGTATATTTAAGTTCAGTAACAGTTACCTATTAATTGCCATTTAAGTGAAATTACTGAACTTAAATATACAAGCTTGATAAAAATGACCATTCTAGAAGAAAATTTCAAATGGCATTTAGAGGCTTTTGCATCTGAACTCTTCATATATACAGTATATACAAAATAATCATACACAGTGTCGTGCACATCGTGTCATGCTGTGCTGCACCGTGTCCAGTGTAGACACTACACTGCGCAATGTGATGTGACAAAAGAAGAATGTCAGAATTCACAGTTCTCAATGATAAAGGTGTAGGCAAAAAGTACCCTGATGACTTACTACTTCTGGCGGGATTCTGAAATGTGCATATTATATAGACACTTTACTTTCCCATGAGGCCACAGGAGAGGATTTGTGAATGGCTGCGTTTAAAATAGCATACTCTCTTGAGTAGGTACTTGTTTTGAATAAGTAATTATTACACAACCGCTAAAAAAAAATTATGTTCTATATCCTTGTGAAGTATGAATGGAATGTACTACATTCACCATGTTGTCATTGTCATGGGAACTAGTGTCAGTTCTCTTTGCTGCACTCATTCATAAATCATCTCCTGTGGCCTCATGGGATAGTAAAGTGTTCATCGTATGTACTCTTCAAATTTTTAGCTGGCAGTAGGTCATCCGGTCATCATTTCAGACATACTTCATTTGTCACATTCTGTTTTTCGCCTATGTGATTTTGGATGCAGCCAAAAGAAATTGAATTGCCACGCAACTGATGCTGGTAGGTCACATGATAATGACAACATGGCAAATGTAGTATGTCCAAATTACATTAATACTGCACACATATTTATACTATATAGAACATAAGTTAGCGGTCAAATACTGATACTTATTCAAAATAAGTAATTACTCAAGAGAGTATGTGATTTCAGATGCAGCCCAAGTCTTTTGTGAATTATGAGTGAGTTATTGAATCCTTCAACTTTTAAATTTTTTTTATTAAAAATGTGCATGGCTACAAATCTAACATGCACCAGAAAGAGTGTTTTGCATCTTTTCCACAAATTACAACTATAGAAATGTTTAAATTATTGCTCCATATTGGTCAAGACTTTTATCAAGCTATAGAAATAGAGAGAAAGAAACGATGAATTTATAACCATCAGTTATTTAAGTGCTTTATAATTAAGTGCTTTATAATCTGCCCTTTTTCTCTGCTTAAAAATTTTAAACATGGATGTATACTATAGGCTATAGTACCCTGAAATTGTATTCATATAAGTCAAAGTATAAGTCTATAAATCATTATGATAAATGAAGACAAAATCTTTCCAAATATTCCAAAGAGTATATAGCCAAGATTAGTGAATGTCTGCACATTTTAACTTTAATTTTTAACTTAAAAAAACATTAATTTCCATAACATATACATGCAACATTTCAAAAGATAGATGTTCCACATATGTTTTAATTTAAAGAATTCCATATCATCATAAAACATTAATAACATTTGTAACAACAAGTAGCCTATTGTATATGATCAACGTTAAGGATAACATTAATATCAAAGATATTAAAGAAAAAATATTCACATATGAAAGAGGAAGAAGAATATACGTGGTGTAATCAAAATAAAGAAGAGGAATTTAATTGTTTGTAAATGTCCATATTTCTGATGGCTTTGCGGCTTGAAACTCCTTGTAAGGTTTTAAAACAAACCTTCATGTCAGCCTTGAAAATGCGTGATATCCTTTCAGACCATTATACCTTTTGTGAATGTAAAACTTACCACGGTCTGCACATTTGAACCGCATGTTGCCACCTTCCTTGCGTGACGTCAGTCCAGTTGTTTTGGGTCGTTCGACCAATCGGAAGCGCGCTCGCACTTCTACAGAAGCCGATGTGGGTCCATCCTCGGGCCAGCTTTTATCCTCCGTTCCTCATCACAACGCCCCCTCGGTAGGGTGCATGAACGGGGCTCTGCTGTAATCAGCAGCTCTGACATGGAAACCCCATTGCAGTTGCAGAACGATTTCTATCCAGAGCAGCAGCAGCACCAGCACCAGCAGCACCAGCACTACTGCGGGCGGGAGGAAGAGCGCTCCATCCGGCACTGCACCTGCAACAACTCCTCCACCTGCGAGGATGCGAGGAAAAGCCAGTATTCGCACGGGACGCCGCTGGGAACTTTAAGGACACCGTCCGTCTCATCTTCAACCAGGCAAGGTGCTCAATACAGCGAGTTCACGCCATCTAGTCATGGTAGTTCATCCAGACATCATCACCATCACCTCCTCCACCATCCTCCCCGCGAACTCAACCGGCAGCAGATTCGGGGCAGTCCGGCCAGCAGCCACAGAGAGAGTAACTCTTACACTCAAATAACCATGAGCAGCTGCAGATACAACGGTGGCGTGATGCGGCCGCTCAGCAACTTGAGCTCGTCCCGCAGAAACCTGCACGAGTTTGACTCGGAGTCTCAGCCACTGCAGCCAGTCTCTGCGGCGGACGCGTCCGACACGCTCGCCTCCAAGCCGGAGAACAACTCCACCACCCTCATGCCTTACGGTACGGGAGACGGAGGAGGAGGAGGGGGAGGTGGAGGAGGAGGGGGTGGATGTAGCCACAGCGGGAGCAAATCGGGCAAAAAGAAGAACCAGAACATCGGACAGAAGCTCGGGCACAGGAGGGCCTTGTTTGAGAAAAGAAAGCGACTGAGCGACTACGCGCTCATCTTTGGGATGTTTGGGATAGTGGTGATGGTCATTGAAACTGAACTCTCGTGGGGAGCTTACGGAAAGGTGCGTAACTTAATAGTCCCCAAATCCTGCAGGTTTCCCCCTCATCTAGGTCAGAATTCATTAAGTCGAGTCTGCCTGCTGGCGAGCGAGCGAGGGAAAACTACAAGTTTGGAAAGTGGATATATGAAGAACTGTGGCAAGGTCACGTTTTCTGGAGAACGTTTTGCTTTGCTTTGGCATTCTATCCCTATGGAAGAGTTTTTAACTTAACTATATATTAGTTCCAATTACAAGTTTTCTCTATAATTCTCCTATTAAATTCATGTTTTTTATGAAATGCATATTTACGCTACGGCAAGAGTGTTGTTTGGTATTATATCAGCATGACTGTGATTTGGCCACATAAAGGTAATATCTAGGTGCATTAAATTGCATTTAAACAACAACTCAATAGACAAAAATATTTTCAGTGCACGCACAAATTACACAGCTCCCTTTCTGTTTGATAGAAACACTGGAATGTTACAAACACAAACAAACTAAAATATTATCATGTTGTTAAAATAAATAATAAATATCAGCACTAAGTTGGTAAGCTCAACCAATCAAATGACTGGAACTGTTGTAGTTCAACAGCATCTATCAAGATGAAACTCAAATTCTTACTAAAGTAAGTAATAAGTCAAGTTAAAATTACAAACCAATTCACAATTTTAGAACAACTGTGTACCCTTCGTCGTGAGCTTTCTGTTGAATAAATGTGTTATTTGCATTTATATTACTATAAATGCTTCAAATAATTTAATAATACAGTTGATGCCTCTATTAAAGTCCCAAGGAGGATATGCATTACTGCAATTCAATTTGACACATAGTTGCCAAATGACAACATTTATATATTCTCAGTTTACATCTATATTAAATATTCTATTGTAAAACAATATTAGATCTTTGAACAATATAGCAATTAAACTACATATGAGAGAAATGTACAGAATGAGTTATATCAGCATGTCTCTCTACTGTAAGGGAAACCCTATAGGAAATCAATGGTCCTGTGCTGTTTCTTGAAACATCATAATATTGTTTTTGATGATGTTAAATGCACTTATATTAGTTCTTATGTTGTGATACCATTTACAAGGTGTGACTTAATCCAAACCCTCACAAAAGTGTACACAGTCAAAGAATCATTAAAAAACACATTGTAATATGTTGCAGTGATATTTTTACAGGTTTAAACAATATGCAATCATGTTTAAACTGACTAATCCAAATGATCTGAAATTGTCTTTTTCTTCTTTTTTTTCCAGGAGTCACTGTATTCTTTAGCCCTAAAATGCCTGATAAGCCTTTCTACAATCATTCTTCTTGGGTTGATTATCATATATCATGCCAGGGAAATCCAGGTAACTTACTCCAAAATAAGCAAGAGCTGTTTACTGTTTGTGTGTGTGTGTGTGTGGGGGGGGGGGTGCTTTCTGCAGAAGGTTCTGCTGTCATGAGAGTCATTGAGTTTCTTAACACATTCTCTCCTCCAGACTAATGCTTAACACATAGCACTTGAATGATATCCATTACCATTGAATTACAATCGGATTATTTTCAATAGCACTGCATCCTCTCCATTTCCCAGTGGCTTAATCAAATCATCCCATGAAGTCCTGTCAGTGACTTGTTGACTTGGCTTAAACAGCAAGTGTTCACAGTTTATTAGCTAGTTGAATAGACAAGACCTGGTTGAATTCCCTGTAAAGTATGTTGAGTATTTATTAATCTTCATAGAATCATTTTAGAAATCTACCAGAGTATAACATGAGATTCATAGTCTATTACCTGTGTTGATAAAGGACTTGCGCTTTCTCAACAGAAATGTAATTTCTAGATTAGGTAGAAGCTTTCAATGTCTCTATATTGTTATTCATAAGCGCTAAAAGATTTTTGACCATATTTGTTGAGAGAAAGAACTCCACTTTAGGGTTGTAGGACTTGGAAAGCACTCAGTCTTATGACCTTGCATCTGTGAATTGTTGTATTACTGTATTACTGGTGTGAAGTTTATGCAATTCAGCATCTATATCTCCACTGTAATGCATTTCTTTGCATTAAGTAATGCATTAATACCAAAAGATGCCATTTATCTTGTGCTGACAAGAATGAAATTTTGTATATTTCTGAACAGTCTCCGTGATGTTTCTTAAAATACTTTGCAGCCAGGGAAATGTAGCATCAAAGATTTATTTGATCTATTCCACTTCTTTCTTTTTCGTTCTTTCATATTCATGCTTTCAGAATTCACATGGTCATATGAAACCAGGAAATTTGAGTGGATTTGAAAGTTTGTAGGCCTGGGAGACGAATAAAATGATGAAAATGAAAACAATTAATTCATTAATGAGCAAATTAGATTACAAATCATATTAAAATCATAAATTAGCTAAAATACTAAAACTAAAATTAAAATTACTCTTTATGTGCGCTGTTAAATTTTATTAAACAAAACCATAATCCAGTTGTCAAAAGTGTGGGAACCCTGTAGGAATTTCATTCAACTTCAAACAGATACAAATATCTCATTCAAGTTGAATCAGACAGGCTTATTATGAAGTGAAACCATGTGTGGCTTTTCCAATAGGGAAATATCACTGTTGATTTCTTGTGGGATGGACCAATTAGCCCAAAGGATTTAATCACAGAGGGCCATGTCAATTTCACACTGATTAACATACGTTTATTGCCGGGGGGTTGAATTTAATGTACATAAAAGCTTGATTTATTCATTTTTTTACTTCAAATAAGGACTTTTTTTTACTTAATTATTATACATGAATGTCTGCATATTGCATACAGTTTTTTGTTTTTTTGGCCTGGGTATTGCCTATTTATATTTTCACTAGCTGATGAGAATGTTATTTATTTATTTTTATGACTGAAGCCGTCGTACCGTATATGGATATATTGGTTTTGAGTGATACTTGCGTTAATGGCAAAATATATAAATCAAGCACTTAGATAAGGCCAAGGAGCGCCAAAAAGCTTGTACTGCCAGTAACTACATAGTGCCAACAAGATTGTAGTGCTATTGGCAGAGCAGACAAAGTGTTATTAGTTAATAGTGTGCTTGTTTTTTTCTTTTCTTTTAGAGTCACCTGTTCAAAGGTATGACATAGGATTTCAGTTAGTGACCAGGCAGCAGCATTTCGGACAATTCAGCCAAAAATTTACTAAAAAAAAAAATTAAATCATCATTTATATATTCTGTAGCAGAACATTCACGTTGCTTCTTTACATACCGTATAACTAAAGTACCATAAACGTGCATACAACTATATCAAAGTTTAGTTTTGCGTGTATATATTTTGGAAAACTGCATCAAGACCCATCACACCAGGTTTGACATCATATGTATAATGGTACATCATACAAATATTGAGAATATACATCACATGGACTACTTTTATGTTGCTTTCATGGCTCTTTTTGTCATTGTGGAGCTTCACAGCATCCATTCCCATTGACTTTACTTGGAAAAGAACAGCATGGCCATTCCTCAAAACGTCTCCTTGTGCATTCCACGGAAGAAAGAAAGACGTACAGGTTTGGACTGGAGCAACATAAGGGTGAGAGAGAATTTTCAGTTTCCAGTGAATTATTCCTGTAAAAGCTCACATTAGCGGTAAAGTCAAACCATTTGCCGTAATGTAGTTGACAATGACTAATGCCGGAGAAGGCCATGAGAATGATAAAATGATAGATCACCTAAAAATGAAAATTCAGTCAGGTTGATCCACGTATGAGTTTCTTTCTTCTGCTGAACACAACAGGAGATATTTTGAAGGACGTCCGTAATCAAACAGTTGATTGACTTTCATTTTTCCCCGTATACTGTGGAATTCAATGGGGTCCATGAACTGTTTGGTTTCCCATATTCTTTTTTTGAGTTCAGCAGAAGAAAGAGCATCACACAGGTTTGGAACAACTTGAGGGTGAATAAAAGAAATGATGACTGAAGTTGTATTTTTAGGTGAACTATCCCTTCAAATTTGACCTGTGAATTCGCTCAATTAGCCGGTTTCCGGAGCTCTGTAGCTCAGCCAATCTCCCCCGATAGCTCAGTTCGGCCGGACGGCCAGCTCTGGGAAGGGTTCTGGTCGTCCCAAACGTCTTCCATTTAAGGATTATGGAGGCCACTGTGCTCTTAGGAACCTTAAGTGGAGCAGAATTTTTTTTGTAACCTTGGCCAGCTCTATGCCTTCCCACAATTCAGTCTCTGAGCTCTTCAGGCAGTTCCTTTGACCTCATGATTCTCATTTGCTCTGACATGCACTGTGAGCTGTAAGGTCTTATATAGACAGGTGTGTGGCTTTCCTAATCAAGTCCAATCAGTATAATCTCATGGTTGATCAGAAGAAATAGACAGCACCTGAGTTAAATATATGAGTGACTGAAGAAAGAACTGAATGAGACGATGACTGAAGTTGTATTTTTGGGTGAGCTATCCCTTCAAATTTGACCTGTGAAGTCGCTCAATTAGCCGGTTACCGCGGTGTGATCTAGCATCCAGCAAGAGTCAAAACAAGAAGACAATACATTGACCTTCAACAGGGATGGAAAAAGACCGCAGGCGATGAACAGCCTTCCACCTGAGATGTCAAAGAGCCATGTTGAGATTTCCTCACTGTGGCCATTGATGTGGAGGCAATTAGGTGTTGTTGGCATGAGAGGAATAATGATGCAATATGATGACAAAAAAAACAGATGATCTAACTTGGGTATAAAAAAGCCTTTTGTGGCACTGATGAAGAGGATGCTGGGTGCAAGTGGACCTTAAGTTTTCAACTTTTCAAGTATTCTCATAAAACTAGTGTTAAAAAAAAGAGTAGTCCGTAGAAAATAGAAATCCCGTCATCATTTACCTACCCTGAAGTTGTTCTTCCCCTTTCCGTGAAACGTTAAAAGGAGATGTTTGGCACAATGTTTAAGCTGGTCTTTTCCATAAAATGGATGTAGATATTGATTGGTTCTCTGCTGCCAAAAAGTAGACAGAAGAAATTTATTTTGGTTTGCCCAATCCATGTATTTCACGGATGAATAAATACGGCATTTAAACAACATAAATGACACAAATTGCATTTTGGGGTTATACTGTTTCTTTAATACAATAATGCTTGTGCTCTGCATACAGATGTTTTAGAAGTTCAATATCACACATACAATGGCCACAGTGTATATAGAAGCATAGGTGTGTTTGTACATGTGTGTGTGACGTGTACATGAAACAAAATCACTGTTTTGTAATATGCATGCAAACCCCCCCCACCCCCCTCCTTAAGAAAAGTCATTAAGAGCATCCATAAATGCCTGAGCAGTTTTATTACTTTTCACACTGTTGAATTATAACGGCGTGTATTCATGAGCCAGTAGCACTCTGTAATATTTAGGGCCCACAAGCCTCTGAGGGACATCAATCATGGGATTGCTTTACCAGAAAAATGTGCCTTTCTGAAGGTACCAGCTGAGGCCCTACCCATTTAGAAACACATGCACATCATTGACATATTGATACGAAATATAAGTATTGCATTCTTTTAACTAATAACCTTCATTTGCTGCAGCAGTTATATGATTGTTAGCTGCAATTGAACCACAAATCCCTTGTTTTCCAGTGTGTTTAACGCGACATATAGGGCAGAAACGCGTGATTAATGCATGTGAGCCATGCTGATGCACTATAGGAGATGTGCACTACCTTTTTCTGTGACAACTAAACTCTACCCGAGACGACTGCCGAGTGTCACGTATCCATCCTTCACCACTGACCCCTGAGTTTTCACTGAGCTGGATTACAGAATAGATGTTATGAGATTCAGTTAGAAGCTTCTTGATTTTATTAGATTTATTTAAAACAACAGCTGATTTAAATTAAACTGTATTTTTTTTTTAAAAAATTGAATTAATTTGAGAGAGCTGATTATATTTAAAATTCTAGAGCATGTATACGGTACGTAGCTCAGAGAAATGTTGTTTTATCATTTTAACATTATAAAAAAGACATTTAGCGTGCATTCAAATTCAGTTAAAGGAATGGGATCTTCAATCCCTTAATAATTGGATTTAATAATGTAATTTTTTGTATTTAAAATGAATACAACTTTACAGGTTATTAAAATAAGAAACCTCCAGTGACCCATGCGTTTTCTCTGAGCAAAATTACAGTATGGATTAAAGGGATACTTAAATTGGAAATAGGCTCATTTTACCACTCCCCCAGAGTTAAACAATTGGGTTTTACCGTTTTCGAATGTATTCAGACGATTTCCATAATGGAAGTCAATGAGACCAGAAACTGTCTGGTTACTGATATTTTTCTAAATATCAGAAAATCGTCTGAATACATTCGAAAACGGTA